ATAATTAATGCGTTTTATTTCCTGTGGCCACAATGTAATAACTTTGAGCGACAAATAACAATTGCACTTATATTGATTATTAGGTATATCTGAATTATAATTGTTGAGATCATAATGGACTTTTTTGAATAAGCAATCTTCCACGAGAAACACTCTAAGTAGTTAAGAGGCTACAGTTTAAATTAGAATATTCCGAGCTTGAATTCCCCTGACCTCATAGTTAGTGCATCAAATTGACCTCCATCGTTAACGTTGTGGAAAAAAAAGCATTTTCAGTATTGCTCTTATAGAACTTTTACTATTAATATATTTTCGTTGAAGTAATATATGTGCACGGTACATTCAGTTAAATAGTCATTTTCTTCTTGTGCTCTTTAATATTGTGGATACTAATTATGAACCTTGAAGATCCAGTTCATAATGGGCCAATCTTCAAGCCATTGTTGTCGTGAAGATGTCAATCGATATTTAAAAATTTATTAAATTGACCGAACCGTATTGTACGGAATCAATTTTTAGGTTTCTTTTAAGAAATTGCAGTGAAAGAATTAAGACCATTTCAACAAGTAAGCAGAAAACTTCAAATGAAGAAAGGAGCCATCTCCAAGAAAGAAATCCTTGAATCATACTTTGAAAAGATAAAAAAGGACTTGGCAAGAAATTTCGGAGCAGAAGTCAGTGATGATATATCAATGACTTATATATATATATATATATATATATATATATATAATTGTATTGATAATTAGGGTAGATTTTTAATTTTATAAAAATAAATCGAAAAAATACTGAACCATACCGAATAAATGTACAATTAAAAAATATATTTATATATTAAGTTTAAAAATAATAAAGTATTAAATTTGTCAATGGACCTTGGATTTATGAAAATGATTATAAGTCAATAAGTAATTAAAACTCAAAATCCTAATTCCCAAACCTATTATGCTACTCCTATTGAAACTAAATTATTTTTAGCATATTCACTAGCAAGATACAAGGTATTCTGACGATTATGGGTAGCAAACTATAATGTGTTGAATATGTTTCCTTTCGTATGATTTAAATTTATTTATTTTTTGAATATTTAATATTCTATAAACTTTGTTCTTAGGTCTCAATTTGGTTAATATCTTTTCACTCGTGTGCTTTATATTTTTTTTTTTTGTCTTTGCGTAGTTTCTTTTATGCTGTTATAGAATAGTTTATGGATCTAACTCTAGCCATCTTTCATATTTTCTTAATTCATCATTCTTTGAACAGTAAAAATATCTAGAGAGTTTTGGTAAGTCTTATAAAAATATGTCTATTATTGCATTCTACTTCTACTAGTAACTTTCAAATTACTTTTAAAACATACCAAAAATTAACTGAATCGTACCATTACCAAGAGAAATCAACATGATTGGGACAGTTTTGAAAAGTCTAATTTTGGATATACATAATAGAATAACCGACAAAATGATATGGTATAAATTTTATAAAATAACCTACCGAACTGAATACCAAACTTTTCATAATGATTTGGGCTTTTTGTGTGAGGCCCAAGCAAAAGAAAAATGAAAGTCCCCGGTACAAAAGTGATTTTTTTTAGTAATTTTCAGAAATCACTATTGTTTAGTGGCTATTAACTTCCTATAGCTATCATATACATATTTACTTCCTATAGCTATCATATACATATTTACTTCCTATAGCTATTATTTAATTACGCGATTGCATTCGTTGTATTCGCCCTACTGTATTCACGAATACAGTAGCAAAATTTGTCTAAAATATAGGGGAATCCAGTTGTGCGGCTGTATTCGCTGTGTTCGTACTACTATATTCATGAATACAGTAGCGAAATTCATCTAAAAACAGGGAATTCCACCTGTTTAATAACGGGAAGAGGACCAATTAGCGTGTATCACTCCTAATTTAAATCAACAAAATTAATTCTACATAAATTTCGCTGCTACACGACTGTATTTGTTGTATTCGCACTACTATATTCATTAATACAATAGTAAAATTCGCCTAAAAATAGGAGAGTCTAGCTATACGACTGTATTCACTATATTCGCGCTACAGTATTCATGAATACAATATCGGAATTCGCCTAAAAAATAGGGGAGTCCGACTGTTTAATAACGAAAAGAGAATCAATTAGCGTGTATCGCTCCTAATTTAACTCAACAAAATCAATTCTATATAAATTTTGCTACTACTGTGTTGTATTCCATGTATTCATGTGACTGTATTTATAAATACAGTGAGGTATTCAAAAAATAAGGGTGTATACTGTTATATTGAATTCGACTGTGTACATTGTATTTAATTCACAGATATTCATTATTCATTTTTATACATTGTATTCAATTCACTATATTCATTTCGAATGTATTCAAACAACAAAAAATACAAAATACAGTGATATTCAACTGTATTAAAAAATACAGACCTTCAGAATGTATAGATACGTGCAAAAAATAGTGTATTTATACAAAAATACAGTATATTTGAGTGTATTTATACATAATATAATATATTTGTATAATTGTATGTGAATAAAATAACAAAGAAGAGAAGAAAGTTCGCCGGAGATGGCGTTTTTCGGCCAAGCAAAATACTGTATACATTATATTGAAACAAAAAATAGAAACGAACAAAAACCCGGCCCTCAAATATTCTCCAGCATAGCCATGACAGACTTGTTCGTCTAAGAGGATGAGCCAATAGTGGATGATGACGCCGATGATTCTGACGATGATCGCAATGACGACAATGATTCTGACGCCTACTGTTCGCCTACTCCCTTTTCGCTTCAGATCTATTCTCTTCGTAAAGAAAGTCCACCATAGCCACCAAAAATGGCTGCTACGACAGCTGCCTTGATGGAAAGGGAGAAAGATTTGAGGTAGAAGAGAGAGGATTGAGAATCTTGCTAATAGAGAGAGAATGAAGAGATAGAAAAGATTATAAGTGGCGTAATTCACTCTCAATGGTAAGGTATAAAATAAATACTTATTTTGCTACAAAATAGAAAAGGTAGTTATAAATAATACTATTTTGAAATTATTTTAGTTTATAATAAATATGGTGTAATGGTTTGCTATAGGAGGTAAAATTTCCTTTCCCCCCCAAGAATATAAATAGTATTATCACTCCATAATTATATTAAAACAATTGTTGGGAAAAATATATGTCATAACTAACAATTTAACTATATTTGATCAAATATTTAATAAACTTATGGAAATGTTAAAACACTTCTCAAATGATTTATCCAAATACAATATGCTAATCTTCCAAATACTGGCAGAGTCAGGATTTTCATTAAGGAGAATCAAAATAAAAAAAAATATACAAAAGAGCTAATCGAATTCAACATATAACATATATGCACAATTTATACATATATACTTGGTGTAATTTTTCAGGTAAAAATTGCACGGGGTGCCCTATTTGGTCACCCCCATATAACCTATACCCATTTTTTAAAAGAGTTTTAACTTGTACCCACTTTTTAAACAACTTCAACCCCCTTTCTCCTCATCCTTCTTCTTCTTCTTCTTCTTCTTCTTCTTCTTCTTCTTCTTCTTCTTCTTCTTCTTCTTCTTCTTCTTCTTCTTCTTCTTCTTCTTCTTCTGCTGCTGCTGCTGCTGCTGCTGCTGCTGCTGTTGGTACTGCTATGAAATTTCAGTTCATGGGATGATTGCCATAAGTATGTTTATCAGATTATTTAAAAATAAATTATAAATAATTACGTAAGTTAGTAGACAATAATTTGTGAATATTTCCAGGTACGGGAAGTTTAAGGTCGCACTTGGTGATTCTTTTCATGATAATTCTGTTCTTTTCATGTTTATTGTTTCCAAAATTTATGATTTAGATACTGTTGACAATCTGATTATTTATCTAGTATGTTACAAAGCTTTTTCAAAAACTTCAACTTATATAGTATTGAAGTTTTTATAAATGAACTAAATAACTTCAGCATCTTCTACTGAAGTTTTTGAAAAAGCTTATCCAGGACAAAAACTTCAGCTTATTTAGTGTTGAAGTTTTTATAAATGAACTAAATAACTTCAGCATCTTCTGCTGAAGTTTTTGAAAAAGCTTATCCAGGACAAAAACTTCAGCTTATTTAGTGTTGAAGTTTTTATAAATGAACTAAATAACTTCAGCATCTTCTGTTGAAGTTTTTGAAAAAACTTAATGACAAAAGTAATGAATCCAGAACAAAAAAACTTCAGCTTATTTAGTGCAATTACAAACAAAAACTTCAGCAAATCGAGAACAAAACTTCAGCTACTATGCTTAAGTTCAGCAATTACGAACAAAAACTTCAGCACACTTGGTTCAGCACTTTCTACTTCAGGCCCGTCTACTAGAATGCTGAAGCTTTGCGTGATTGCTTTTGCTACTCAGTCTTGTATGCTGAAGTTACGTGAAAAAGTGGGTACGCTTGCAGTTTTTTTTGTAAAACGGGCACAAGTTAAAACGTGATCCAAAAAACGGGTATAGATATAAATCCCTCATTTTTTAGCGAAGGAGTGCCAACTGACTCCCCTAATTGACACCCCTTGAACAAGGGTAACTCCGTCATTACATTCAAAATAACTTTTAAAAAAATACTTTTAGCAAGAAGTACTTCTCAAATTAAGGTTATTTTGACAACACACTAACTAAGAAGGAGAGAAATCCACATTCTACACATTATGCATTGGCGGTATAATTTTTTTTACTTTATTAGATCACTTAAATGGTAAATAACTTAATTAATAAGTATTAATTGGTGAATGTGTAATAAATATTTAACAACCTACTTTTTGCACTTGTCAATGTATATAAGTAAGCTCTATTCTAAATAGGAGGAAAATTCAATTTATGGGTGAAGTTAAAAACAAAGGAAGATGGACACATCATTCTAACCATATATTGCGGGATTGACAGTTTGACACACACTTCACTTTTCCTTGCATGGTAAGACCGGTGGAGTGTGGCCCTCAATTAATCGTCTCAAAAAATTTACGGTAAAGAAATAAGAGGAATATCTTTTTGAAAATGGCAATATATGATTACGTTGGCCAATACAGAACATGAATGAAACTTAATAATCAAAGGTATTATTGAATCAAATCAAATCAAGGGGAAATGACCCTTCAACCGAAAACACTTCGTTCCCGCAAATTTCCTTTTCTTTAACCTCACTCTCCGCCTCATTATTATTTATTATTCTTAAATATCAAGCAAAACCCAGTTCAAGAAAGCTATATCAGATTGACATTCTTGCACATTTATTTCGAAAAAACAAAAATGGGTGTTTTTTCTGGTCATTGGCCTTCTGAATCTGAGGTAAAGTTTTCATTTTTATTGTTCATATTTTGTTGTTTTTATTGCATTGTCGATTTTTGCTTAATGGGCTGTTGATTTGATTCTTGTTATTGATTTCAATTGCTGTTTCACAAATTTACTGTAGAGACAAACCAAGATAGTTCTAGCAAAAAAATTGTGATATGCCAATATGCAATTCTAGTCCGAAGAAAATATAAGGAACTTCTAGTACATTTTTTTAATTTTATTTTGTATAATATTGGCTTGAGATGAGTTTATATGGAGTAACATGGTCAGTGAGGAATTATATAGACGACCCCAACTCCTTGTTGCTAATATACAATTCTAGTCTGAAGATTTGTGGCTACAAAACACATTACTATCTGTTACAGAGCCGGGGTTCTGTATGTGATAGTGCTATGTTGCTAGAAGTGTGATGATTTTACCTAAACTCCTTATGTCATGATTTTATGCCTATTTTATAGTGCCTATTGTTTAACTAAATTTCAGTAATGTGGTTTAAAAATACACTTTTTCTGTGTGTGAGACAGTGGGGGAGCTAGGAATTCTTTAAAAGGCCACATCTAGTACTTTTAAACCACTTTAACCACTACACAAGAAGTTTTTTTTTTAAAAAAAAATTATTTTAAGGGGATTCAAAAAAAATTGCTTTTAGCCCTGTTGCACAGTGTAATTTCCGAAGAAGTGTCCTTACCTGTGGATCCGCCACTGGTGTGAGAGTGCTGTATTTAAGAAAGGAAGAACCTGTCATGCAACATGTTGCTAATACAATGTTATTTGTAGTTGGAGGAACGTAACTTAAAGGAACCTATACTTCTATGAACATAATATTCTTTTGAGCATATTCCACATAAGCCAAGTGCGTAATATCCTTGTATTGCGTTGTATGCAAGTATCAATAGTTAAACTTGGTGTGTCTCTATTTGAGAGAGAAACTGAAAATGCGGCAATAACTTTAGCTAAGTTGGTTTATCTTGTTTCACTGTAATCTCCTCGACTCATGTACTAGTCACAGTTGTTAAACTCAAATAGATAAGCTGAAACCCTCGCTGGTTCTGTAACTGGTGCAGTTGGATAAATTAAGACAGAAAGTCGCCGAAATGTCTGGTAGAGATGCTCAAGAGGTCAGGGTGGTTGTATCACCTTACAGGATTTGTCCATTGGGCGCTCACATTGATCATCAGGCAAGTATATTAGTTATCACTTGTTATCTACATGTGCTTGCTTAATTGTCAATCGCTTAACCAGACATCCTTCTATTATGGTTCTTGACTGACAAGGTTTCTACTTGCTGTTCTTCAGATTTAATATATTCCATAACAGGATTCTATATCTAATGTAAATAAAACATTAGCGTATGAATCTTCATGATATGCCTTAAATTCAATCAACCAACTATGCCTCATTTCTAAACTTGAGTCAGTCATGAAACCTTGGTACCTAAGGATAATTATTTGCAGTTGTACCTTTATGCAAAATCTATATTGTGTGATCTTCAATGCGATTCAGGGGGGAACCGTTTCAGCTATGACAATCAATAGGGGTATACTACTTGGTTTTGTTCCTTCTAATGACACCCAGGTATGATTTTTTATGTATTATAGCCAAATTGTGCAGTGCTTTAACGATGTAAACATGTTATATTGTCTATATGTCATGAACAATAAGTAAAATATTCGAAGTTCTAGCTTAAATTGGTTCTGTATGTATGACTCTACATGGCTGGATAATGTCTCACGCATGTCCTTATCAAAATCCCCTTAGTCTGCCGAGTTCTATGTTTCCATTGGGGTTCTATGTAGCTCATTGCTCATAAAAATAGTTGTACAAACTTCAAGATGTGCTTTACTGAGTACATATACCACAAGTCAATTGATAGATGTTGCTGTGAAATTTGTCTTTTTAGCTGGAATGCTGCCACTGAGACACATATAATTGGACATAGTTACAGAACAGAAGTTATTACTCACGTCCTAAGTGATGCTCATTTTGATGTCTTTTTCACCACTCTAATTCTGTTGACTGTCTACTTTGCAAAACTGGAGTCGCCAGTTAGCACTGGAAGCTGAGGCGGCTTTTTTTACTTCTCTGCTTAAGAGCTTGAGTTTTATGGAAAATTCACTAAACTCTTTTCAGATAATCATTTTCTTTGTATTCTACTTCATATTCATTTTCGACTATGACTTCAAATTTGTAGGTTACACTACAATCTGGGCAATTTAAAGGAGAAGTTCGGTTCAGGTAAATGATGTTTATCTTAAGCATATTCATACTATATGTAACTAGTTTTGATATCCTATAAATGCATTAAAAATGTTATCTTTGTTCAGAGCCATATATATACGTCTTTGCTTCTGCTGGATTATGAGCCTATAACTAGTATATAACTACTTTGATATCTACAATCTCATGTCTGTGGACTTGCAGCATAAGTCTGCAAGTTGATAGTGATACAACACAGTTTTTGGTTTCTACAATGTGGAAACTCCTATGACTGTTTTAGCCCTCACAAAACAATAGGTTATGATAGTTTATGTAATTTTTTTTCCCGTCATGATAGTTTCATGTATTCAATATTATAAATACTAACAAAAGTATTGAACATCTAATACCTTGCAACTTTAAAATTCAGAGTAGATGAAGTTCAGCTTCCTAAGCATATCTCCAAGACAAATGGTTTGAATGAACAAATTGACTCATCCAAACCTCAGGAAGAATGCAAATGGGGTAACTATGCTAGGGGAGCAATATACGCCCTGCAAAACAAAGGAAATCCTCTGAAAACGGTTAGTAAGATTTCTTTTCCTGCTGTTTGATAGACATTTGTAATATCCTTGGTCCGCAAAACAAATTGATTCCATTTCTACTATGGAGGTTTACAAGAAGTTTCTTTCACATTTAAGAGCAGAATGGTTGTTAGCTTGTTTATCCTTGATGTTAAAGGACTGCAACCTGCTCTGAATATGAGTATTTCCCATTCATTACTTAAAGTGAGTTAAGTATATTCCATTAACTTCCTGATTCTCATTCTCTGAATTGCAACTGCCTTGTTCTAGATGTTGAACTCTAAAATTTTACAATCCGCTGGTTCCGTTCTACAGTCCATAGGTGGACTTCTGGCTTTTTAACATAAATTTCCTTCCACACACCATCCATCTTTTGACTTCTTATGTCTCTCATGAACTGAGATGATTGTTTACACAATTTGTTCCGTCTAACCCTGAGATAGAATCCAATTCAATGTAATTTGAAAATATATACATTGTTCGAATACTTGTTACTTGATGATGATGCTTCTTATTTTTCTCATTTGGTTTTCAAAAGGATATTTCAAATAAGCTAAAGTTGCTTATAAGAAATATTTACCCAACAGCTTGGAACAAGATAGGCTTCTCAATGAATTTGAGGAATTGGAGAGAGCGGGGGAAGAAGGTTTCTTGTTTATACGTGAGGATACTCTCATGTAAACTACGATGTTCCAGTGATTTTGCAGCAACATCCATTGGAAGAATATTATTTAAAGTACATCACTACGTCAAATGGCTAAGGAAGGGGATGCATTGTTATGCATAACCTCAGAGTTGAAAATGGAAATTGAAGCAAAGATCAAGAACCATAGCTGTAGTTTAGCTTATTTTTCTATTTAGGAGATAAGGATCAACCTACCGTACTATTTAAATTTGATTTCCAATTTTTTTTTAATAAAACAATATGTCGGAAAGGCCTTACAAGGAGGGAGGAACTAGGTAAATTAGATTGTTGTCCTATTTAGACGTGTTAAAATTTGTGACCAAGTCTATCCCACTGTTGCTTCGTCCAGTCTTTTATTTTTGATTTTGTTTTTTATAATGTTGAAATACAAACTTATGGAAATTTAGATGTTTCTACCTGCCTTTGTGGTCCTTAAAAGGCTTTCCCTTTGGAGTTGAGCATTTTAGACCCACTAGTGTTGTTGTAAGCTTCTAGTTTCCCAAGGTCAAGCTCAGTCATAGGCGGACTGAGTACCATAATATGAGTGGTTTACTTGAAGATTGTCATGGATACCCTCAGCAGTTTTATACTATAGATTTGCTACCTGTAGTGTAAATTTGAACGAGTTGGGGTGTCTAAATTGCTTCCTAAATTGAAGGTTCCCTGAGCAGCTGTTAAGCTAGATTTGTGGGTCCCACGCGAGTGCCAAGAAATGGTGAAGGGGCTGGTCAGATCTCTTTTAAGGGAATTGCAGACTAGCACAGGGTTCTGTCGTTGTGCAGATAGCTATGTTAAAAACTGAGAATTTTGAAGAAAGTGGGCTTACAAGCTTTTAATTAATTGGAATCATGTTGCAGCATTTGCCACATCTTCACTTACTTGATTTGGTTCCATTTACGTTTGACCTAATGAGCTAGCTTTTGCAGTTGAGTTAGGCTAAGGTCCATTTTCTTTACATGGTATAAAAGCCAGACCCAACTCTATTTCTTGGTTTACCGAATTTTAGGCCCATATCTTATGTTGTCCATGCTCCAAATGTCTAGTCCTAGGCGTGCAAGGGTATTATGTGCTGCACATTGGATGAGAGAATTGGCTTTTGCCTCCTTATTTGGTCTTGGGTAATCCTCACTGCATGTGCTAGTTGTTGAAATTGAATTACGACCAAAGGTCCATTTTCTTGACATGGTTGACTGCCTTCATCCATTCTATTTTCTTGGGCCAGTTAAGCGTTTATCATTATTCTCTATTGAATAAAATGTTTGGTTTCAAATTCAATTCCAGAGTTCTACTCTTGGATACACTCCTCTGTCAAAAGAACTGTTTCATTACGTGCACTAAAACAATTCATTTGTCAGTCACCTTGATCTGCATTCTTTTGCATAATCCCCCAACTTGACATGCTTAACCTCAATGTGCATCATATCTTTCATTTATACCAATCTCTTTGAAGCTTGTTTTTTGCAGGGTATCACTGGGTTTATCTGTGGTTCTGAGGGTCTTGACAGTTCAGGTCTCAGCTCTTCTGCAGCTGTAAGTTGTTTTTCCCATCGCCACCTTTGAATTGGAGTTAGGCGATCAAGAAATGTAGTTTCTATTTTGCATTTTTAGCAAAGTTCTTGTGATCTGGTGAAGTTATTTCTCGAGAACCTCTAAGGCCTTTTTTTTCCGCTGTTGCATCCTTGAGGAAAAGAGATCTCAGTGGTCACTCTTCTCTTTTAAGAGATCTGATTTGCATCTTTGTTCTTTTCTTATAGCAGTTCCTTACAGTGTCTTAGACATCCTATTTATGTCCCTTTTCATTTCTCTTCTGGAATTGCATTTAACAACCTCATGCTTAACAGGTTGGTATAGCATATCTGTTGGCTTTCGAAAGTGCAAATGGTCTTGTAGTGTGCCCAACTGAAAATATTGAATATGATAGGTATGTAACTTGTACGATGTTCTTGTCTTTGTTGCTTGCTAGTTCATTGAAGATATCTGGTGCTTCCTTGCTGTTTAAACTTTGTGCCATTGATCTCTTGAAAAGGTTTCGGAGAGCTTTTAGGGAAAGAGAAGAGAGTGTTGCTAATTCTTGTTAGAACAGGTGCATTACCACTTGATGGAGTAGGTGAATTATCCCCCAGAAAAGATTTCTTTTTTTTTCCGTCTCAACAATTGACATTTCTGTGAATATTGACGAAGAAATACTTAATGTGAATACAACAACAACCCAATAGAATCCCACCCAGTGGGGTCTGGGGAGGGTAAAGTCTGTTTCCAGGAGACCCTCGGCTCAGAGACAATAGATCTGTGACAACAAAACTCGTAAAAATAATATCAACAATGTGAGAGACAGCAAATAAATGGAAAAGCAGTACCGCAATATTATACAAAAGTGTGAAACACAACATAAAACGACCGCCCAACTACCCCTTAACCTACAACCCTAATGCTCGACCTCCACACCTTCCTATCTAGAGCCATGTCCTTGGAAATCTAGAGCCACGTGAATATTTTGACAAATTCGGATAATGAACTATTAGGTTACTACCAACATGTACGTGATATGATATATCATGTTTAGAAGTTGCTTATGTATAGTTTCTTTCTTGAGATGTTTCCACACTTTCTGGATATTTTGGAATTGCTTGTGACATTGCTCTAAGTGTATTTTGAGTAGTTGCCTGGTGGAAGTCAGATAATAAAGCTTAAAAAGGACCTTAGGAAGGGGTGAAACTGTATTCGTCAGCCTGGTGGAATTTTGCATAGGCAGCTGTCCATCTGCCCTTTTAGTTTCATATGCCTTCGATTTTTTTTCCCTTTTTCCATTTTTAAAGTGACTTCAATGTTTATCTGTACCTGTTGAGGTGTTACAGCCTGTAAATGTAACCATGAATGATGTCTGATGCTAATGTTTGTACCTTTTAGAATATGCACTCTGTTTTACTCTCATTTTGATGCTGATTTATAGATATGAAGTAGTTTAATGTCTTTGCTATGACATGCTATTTGCAGTTTATGCACTGGTAAACTTAATTTCTGACGGTCATATTAGGCAATTATGGTAGTTGATTGTAAGATTGTGTAAGGTTCTATGTAGATAATCTTTTGTCTCATTTACATATCACAAAAGATCTTCTGGTCTCATTTGGTTGTGGTAGTTTCCATAGGACATTTTTCGCTGTGCAAACCCTTTACTGGTATGTTGCGAAAAAAAAACCCATAACTGGTATGGTGAACATTTATTAGGTCCAAGGGAACACGAGGCTTAAACAATTGATACATGTTAAATGTTTCACAAAGTGACCTGTTTAAGAAGTCCGTGACAGGCATTCTGAATTTTTGTCTCAATTTTTTCTCGTCTTCCTGTTTTCTCATCATTGGAACTGTATCATCTCAGATTTTTCCAAAATCTTTAACGGGCATTATCTTAATTTTTGAATCCTCAACCTGGTTCCAGTATGAACTTCCAAATTTCTATAGTGCATTGATTCACCTGATCATTCTTCCAACTGGACTGGTCAGAGCTACTTTTATAAGCATGTCTTAGGTCAGTTACTTTAGTGGTATTCACAACCGTTAACACTTTGATTTCTTAAGGGCAACATTTTAGATGCTCGTTCTCTCTGAATCAATGACATCATCAGATTCATGAACTTTTGGTAGTAATGAGGTTCAAAGGTCTATTCAGTTAGGTGACTCAGTGCTGTTCATATCCATCCTTGGCATTGGTGGAGTATTTGATAAGCTTTTATCGGAGGAAACTGAAAAGTTAGAGGAAAATGCTTAACTTGCATCTTTGGATTTCTGTATTGCTTTGTAGTAAACATGCTCTGTATTCTACAAGTTCACTTCTTGACACAATGTTTGTACGCATCTCTTGTTGCTTTTGTTGCATGCAGGCAGATTGAAAACGAATATTTAGGTTTAAAAAATGGTATATTGGATCAGTCAGCAATATTGTTATCAAGCTACGGCTGTTTGACCTGCATGAATTGCAAGGTAATGTTTTTATTTCCACGCAGTAAATGGTTAACTTATCAAATAATCTTATTGTGTTTGAGCTAAAATTACTAAAACTCTTCCTAATATTTATTTGTATCTCCACTGCTGTCAGCTAAAAGTGATACTTTTTCTTCCTCTTTTAGCTTGCAATGCTCTTGAGATTTCTTAAAAGAGTATAGATGTTAGTCCCAAATAATCAGAGATCGGAACTTTAAGCAGTCATAATTACGTGGAAGAAAGAAAAGAGGAAAATCAAGAACTAGCCGTAGAAGTAGAAAGAATATGCTATTCAAAACCGGGAAACCTAGATTGTTCACGATGAATTGCTTTTCCTTGTCGTTTATGTCATTTTGCTTTAACTTTCCTCTTGTTATGATTTCAGTTTTACATTATGGCAACTTTTGTTGTTTTCTTCTGATACAGATTTCACATTCTGTAGAAAACTCTGACAATTATAGACCGCATGTGCAGACCATAAAACACAAACTGATACGCCCTCCAGAGGTGCAAAACAATCATGTCGGAGAGTTAGGTAATGCATACAAGATATTGCTGGCCTTTTCAGGTCTGAAACAAGCATTGACAACAAATCCTGGATATAATCGGCGAGTTGCAGAGTGTCAAGAGGCTGCAAAATTATTGCTGCAGTAAGATTATTTCCTGTTTGAAGCTTGTATCCACTTATGGTCATGGAATGCATGCCTGTTTATTGATGGAATATACTAGGATAGATGAAACAAAAAATCCTAGTTGTAAGTGACTCTCCGTTAAGAAGAATATGTCAGATTTAAATCCTAATGGAAATGTATCAAACGATGATCATTATTTCAATGATTGAATATCAAGCCTTTTTCTGGACTTCCCTCAAAACTTGAAGCATTCCTAAGACTAACAAACCCTTCTTATTGAATAAGCATGATGAAGTTGCGATGAGGTCTAATTGATTTTCTACCAAAGCTTTCGCTTCTGTTAGGCTATTTTCCTTTTTCTTCTTCTGACTCGTAACACTGAACTTCTAGAGCTTCAGGGAATGAAGAAGTGGAACCTGTTCTATCAAACGGTAGAATACTGAGCCTGCTTTTTTCGTTGAATTAGTGATGCCGTTTTAATGATGATGTTATTGATCACGAGTCTATTGTTTATGCAGTTGAACCAGAAGTTTTTGAAGCCCACAAGGTAAAATCCACAGAAATAAGTAAATGTTAAATTACGCCTTCTTAACCATCATTTTGTTGAAGGGGAGCCTTAGAGCAAAGGTAAAGTTATCTTCGTGTGACCTATAGGTCACGAGTTCGAGCCGTGGAAGCAGCCACTAATGCTTGCGTTAGGTCAGGCTGTTTGCATCACACCCCTTGGGTGCGGTCCTTCCCTTGACCCTGCGTAAACGTGCGATGCCTTGTGCCCGAGCTGCCCTTTTTAACCATCATTTTGCAATGTCATTGTAACATCTTTTAGTGAAAGTCTTTTTACTTATTTCTGTGGATCAATTGTATTTCGTATCATGTTTTTGGAAATGTTTCTCAGAGCAAATTAGAACCCGACCTAGCTAAAAGAGCAGAGCACTATTTCTCTGAAAATGAGAGAGTGCTGAAAGGTATTATTCTTTACAGAACTTTACTCCTTTTATTTTTATACTTAGTTTTAGGACAGTCCATTCATATCTAAACATCATGTGCGGTTTTTTAGGACTTGAGGCTTGGGCGTCCGGAAACCTTAAAGAATTTGGAGAGCTTATTACAGCATCTGGTCTAAGTTCTATTCAAAACTACGAATGTGGTAAGTGTTGATTTTAATATTTGATATCTGAATTTCATTTTAAATTTATCATCAATTATTTCCTGTTTACATTTACATCTACAAAACCTATAAAAGTAGTAGCCGATAAATAGCTTTCTTGATACTTTATATTGAGGGACAATAATAACCGATTTTCTTGCATCTCTCTTCTTATGGAAAATTCTATTACATTGGGGGATCAGGGAAGGGGAAGTGTAATGGTGAGAATTGAACTCACCCCTACTGTGTCAAAGGCTCCCACCGGTACAACTAGACTGTAAACCTTGGTAATCTTGCACTTCACCTTAATCATTTCAGGTTGTGAACCACTTATACAGCTATATGAGATTCTTCTGAAGGCTCCTGGTGTACTTGGGGCACGGTTTAGTGGTGCAGGATTCCGAGGCTGCTGTCTTGCGTTTGTAGATGCAGATAGAGCAGAAGAAGCCGCAATGTTTGTCAAGAACGAGTACTGTAAGCTCCAGCCCGAGTTGGCAAGCCATATCAACCAAGGGCCGGCTGTATTGATATGCGATGCAGGTGACTGTGCACGCGTGATCTGAAACACTGCCAGTTAGCTAAACTTGTAAACGCACTCAGGTTCATACTTGTAGCTCCACGATTTCCCATTTTTTCATCCATTCTTTTCAAGTGATTTGTCTTCTTGTATCCTTACTATTTCAGTTTCCACATTGACTTGGTGTATATTATTTTGGATGTTGAAGAAAGATTGTGTCAATAATTTGTATTGGCCTCCATTGCCCAATTTGTGTACGAAGTCTTATTAGAATTTTGAGGATCCAACTTCTTTTGCTTATAATGATTGATTGAAAGTTTATGAAGTTTGATTCTTGTATATTCATATTTGTTGAAGTTGCATTAACAGAAAGCGAGTAAAATGTACTGTAAACATTTAAATTTTATCAAATTTAAATCGATAAAATAAGACGGACTATATTTTAAATATATTGGTCCAAATAAATATTTTTAACTAATTTAATTGGATTAAATATATAAGTCCAATATAGTTGGGCTACAAATGATGAGCCGCCACACGTGAAATGACGTGGCACGCCAAGTCCAACGGAAGAGCCAATAGGATCATGTCACGTGTCAAAATGACAAGGCATGTCACGTGTCAAAATGACAAGGCATGTCAACTCAAATTAAAAGGCCAATGAAACCGCGCCACATGTGCAAGTGACATGTTCTGACCAATCAAACACGGTCTTGTTACTCTTCAATTTGATTGGTCGGAAAGAGTTTGTTCTCATCACAACCCTTCCCTACCACAACTATAAATAGAGGTATTCATAACTCAGAAAAGACACATGAAGTTATAACAAGAATCAAGAGAGAGCTAGTGGATCAAACGCTGCAGATTCAAGATCTGGGCGTATGATTGTTGCAATATTTTTTTGGTCTCGATTATTTTCTTGACGCAATTTTATTGTCTACAAATTCTGGCACGCCCAGTCGGACAATCTCTACCTCTTATCTCAATTTTTCAATCACCAACGTTCAAAAATATCGAAATGACTTCAAAGAAAATCAACTCCAAATTAACTTCCACCAAGGCTACTAATTTCAGACTCTACGCTGATATAGAAAGCATCATCAATGTTACCTTTGGAAGTTTTGGACCAATTACAAGGAGCAAAGCAAGCTCATTAGGACAACAAGCACTTCAAGTGTAGTCCACATCAACCTATGTTTTCGGATCTTCATCCTCAAAAGGAGCAAGATCCTCTACGAACGCACCTGAAGAAGGAAGCGATGTTGCTGAAAAAATTAAGAAAACTCTAGCTCTGCTTAACCTCTCCGGATCCAAGAATTCTAATGTGAAGGAAGATGACGATATTTCAAGCGATGGATCCTCCTCACTTACACCGCATAGCGTGATCCAATTGAGGATCAGTCTATGTAACAATCTATGCTACTCTCCATCGTCTACAACAATCATGTAAGCAATGTTGACGAACACTTCATCCATAAAAGAGCAACTAGAAAACTTGACATAAGCAATTGCTAGCTTGACCAAATACATGCTGAATCAAGATGATAGAATTGATAAGTTAACGGATAGGGTAGAACTTTTGATGCAAGAAGAAACCAGTCATGCACTTGGCAAGCGCCCAAAAGTTCAAGAGATTGATCCTCCCCCACGACAAGTTGCATTTACCAAGGAAATTTCAATCTCTTCGGAAGGGATGATTCCAATCAATCAACTAAAGCAGTTCATTAAAGAGACTATAAAAAACAAATATGAAGTTGCTGCCAGTTGCTCTCTTACATACGCAAAGTTGTACACTGCAAGGACAAACATGTTGAAGATGTTTGCTGGCTATCAACATCCAAAGTTTCAACAGTTTGATGGTAAAGGCAATCCAAAGCAACATGTGGTGCACTTTGTTGAGACGTGCAACAATGCTGGGACTTATGGATTTTACCTAGTCAAGAAATTTGTCCACTCACTAAAAGAAAATGCTTTTGATTGGTACACTGACCTCGAGGCTGGATCTATTGATAGATGAGATCAACCAGAGCAAGAGTTCCTCAATCGATTTTATAGCACGATACGTACTGTGAGTGTGATAGAATTTACAAGTACTCGTCAATGAAAGGGTGAACCAGTTATCGACTTTATCAATCGTTGGAGGAATGCAAGCCTCAACTGCAAAGACAGGCTTAGTGAAGCTTCTGGCATAGAGATGTGCATCCAAGGCATGCATTGGGGACTGCACTACATCTTTCAAGGTATCAAGCCTAACACATTTGAACAACTTGCAACTCATGCCCATGACATGGAATTGAGCATGGCCTCCGCTGGAAATGAAGGCTGCCCATCTACGAGCCTCGCAAAGGGAACGACAAGTAAGAAGTTAGGAAATGGAGCAAGTTTGTTCCCAAGTCTGAAAGCAAAGAAGCGATGAATATCAACACATCACTGTAAGGTTCACGACTAAGGTGAGCAAGACGCAGAGTATGAAATCCACTTCCTTTCAAGATAAGACAAACGGAAAGTTGACTCTAAAAGAAATTCAAGAAAAGGATTATCCATTTCTAGATTCAGATGATGTGCCTGCAATCTTTGAAGAGATTCTTGAGTTAGAGTTCATTGAGCTTCCGAAGATGAAGCGGCCAAATGAAGTTGGGAAAGCTGATGACCCCAACTACTGCAAATATCATCGACTTGTGAGTCATCCTCTTGAGAAGTTCTTTGTCTTTAAGGACAAAGTTATTTTATGCGGTAAAACCGGGGACCCTATTTCCCCGTCATTAGGTAGCCTCGCGATTATGCTCCTCAAGGCTCGAATCCAAGGTCGAGACCCACCCTCGGGGGTCGTCGGGTGCTGGCCCCCGGGGGGGGCATTGCATAACAACGACTACAGTACGGGAAAGGGGGAGTTCCCAAGATGAACAAATAGCACTGGCAGAACTTGGTATCGCGTTTGGCCGTCCCATCTCCATGCCTTTACAATTAATGCACTCTTGTACTATGTCTGAATACCCCCTCCTATATAAAAGGGATCCTCACCACTTTGTAAAGGGATACTGTGGCTCAAACTATTCTACACAAGATCAATAACAACTCTCTCTCTCTCTCTTTTCTCTCTAACTTACTCGCTCGATGCTACCTCTTTCATTTATTGCTTTCATACTTGTTCTTTCGTTTATTGCTTGATATTGGCCATAAAGAGCCTCCTTTTAATTATATCTTAACTGTTAATCCCTTCCCGGTTACCTCCGATAGCTCGAGCTCGAGCCCAGGCATCGACCTTGAGGCCCTTCATCGGTCAGTCAGAGGCTCGGGAGGTTAGCTCCTCGTTGTGATTACAACCCCGTTTTAGTTCGTATTTTGTCGCTAGACTTCACATATCTATCATCAACTGCCTTAACAACTAGCATAAAAATAGATCACGTATTTTTAGAGTCTCATTAACAAATTTAATTGTTATTACCATTTTCACAGTAAACAGTTTGGCGCCCATCGTGGGGCTAAAAATAATAATGATTATTTTTTTGTTGGTTTCATTGCACAATGCAAGTCATCTTTCACACTTTTTCTTGTCCAAGATCTTCAATTTCAGGACAAAGCGTCTGGCTCGGTGAACAGAATAGGGAACCAGAACTTTGAAAACAGCAGAGAGATGGACACGACTACTCCAGATGTCGGTACACCACCGAACTCTGCCCGAGCAGAAGGGGAGGCTCTCCAACATGGCGTCCACATGATTATTGGAGGAACCAACGTTCCCCAAGGACCCATGTTCAAACGGACGAGAACGTCCACCACGGAAGAGGGACCGACCCGAAATTGCGTACCTGAAGACACTCTCGTATTCAGTGAGGAGGACCTCGAGGCCATGATAGAGGCGCACAACGATGTACTAGTAATCTCATTTCTTTTAAACAATACCAGGATAAAGCGCGTGCTCGTAGACCCAGGCAGCTCGGCCAACATAATTAGATCAGAGGTAGTAGAACAACTAGGGCGGCTCAATCGAGTTGCCCTCATCCCTCGAGTCCTCCACGGCTTCAACATGACCGGTGAAGTAACAAAAGGAGAGATCACCCTCCCGATCGACACGCCCGGCGTGATCCAGAACACTGAGTTCCAAGTCATCGATGGCGACATGAGGTATAATGCATTACTCGACAGGCCTTGGATACACAGCATGAGGGCAGTACCCTCAACCTTACATCAGGTGATAATGTTTCCCACGAGGGACAGCATCACGACCATACATGGAGAACAGAGGGAAATGAAATAAATGTTTGCAGTCCACCATGAGGCGCCGATCCCTACATGCTCGATCCCGAACGAGGATAGAAACACACAGGCCACCGAGGACGACAAGGAAGATTTCTTCGCTTCCCGAACCTCCGTCTCCCCCGAAGAATTGGACGCGACTAAATCGACAGTCAAAGAGCTGGAGCAGACCATTTTAATCGAGCACCTCCCGGATCGTAAGGTATACCTAGGAACGGGGTTGACCCCCAAACTCAGGACAGGGTTTATTAAATTTTTTAGTAACAATATCGACTGTTTCGCCTAGTCCCACCTAGATATGACAGGAATTCTGCCGGAAATAACCTCTCACAGGATGAGTGTCAATCCCAAATTTAAACCCGTGAAGTAGAAGAGAAGACCACAGTCCGAGGTAAAACATGTTTTCATCAAAGAAGAGGTAACAGAACTTCTTAAAATCAGATCCATTAGAGAGGTAAAGTACCCCGAATGGATAACCAACATAGTAGTAGTGCCTAAAAAGGGAAACAAGCTAAGAATGTGCGTAGATTATAAAGACTTGAATAAGGCGTGCCCCAAAGAGTCCTTCCCATTGCCTAATATCGATTGTCTGATCGATGCTACGGCCAGCCACCAGACCCTCACCTTTCTCGATGCCTACCCGGGGTATAATCAAATCCAGATGAACCCCGAAGACAGGGAAAAAACCTCGTTCATCCCAAAGTACAGTACATACTGCTACAACGTAATGCCTTTCGGGCTAAAAAACACAGGGGCAATGTACCAACGCCTAGTTAATAAAATGTTTGAGCATCAAGTAGGTAAATCAATGGAGATATATATTGATGATATGCTAGTTAAGTTCCTGTGCGCAAAGGACCATTTGACTCATTTGCAGGAAACTTTCGACATCCTCAGAAGCTACAACATAAAGCTCAATCCCAAGAAGTGTGCCTTTGGAGTGGGTTCGGGCAAATTCTTGGGATTCATGGTTTCGAATAGGGGGATCGAGATCAATCCCGGCAAAATAAAGGTCATCGAAGAAATCACG